GTTTTTGTCACCTTTGTCTGCACCTGGTTGACCAGTGCAATCACATGGCTGAGGCCAGAGTGGAAGGGTAATCAGAGTCACATAGAAGGGGTGTGGGTACAGGAAAGGGAAGAAATGGTGGCCATTTTTGGAGTCACCACAGGGCCAGTGTTTCTATTGGGAGAGTCCAAATGAGAGAGAATAGTTTTAGACAGATAGGCTTGACATATAATAACAGCACATGCTTAAACAATTTGGTAAGTTTTGGCCAATGTGTCCACCTGTGAAGTCATTACTACATTCAAGACATTTGTGAACTCCCAAAAGATTCCTTTGTGAACCCTTCAGGACCTTCCCCCAGGCAATGACTGATGTGCTTTTTGTCAGGACAGGTCAGTTTGCATTTTCTGGGGCTTTTTATAAATGAAATAGTAACATACGACCTCTTCTGTCTGGCTTCTTTCAGGAAAATTATTTTGAGTTTCTTCTATTTTGCCACATTAAGGTCAGAGTTCTTACATTACAGAAAAGAAAGGCTTTTAAAATTAACTTTTCATTTATGCTAGTGAGGTCTTCCAGCCTCTGGCTAAGCATTTTGAGTGGTGATACATCACACTTCTCTGAGTGGCTTATTCCAACTGTGTTTTCCTGTTGTGAATCAAAACCTCACTTCCAGCCATTCATTGTCCAACTGGTATCTCACCAACAACTGTGCAAGGCATCATACTGAAAGATAGGGTACCAGTGTGAGCCACACCTCTGGGGAGTAGCTCAGGGTGGAGGTTCTCATGCCCTCTGGTGGAAGAGACAGAGACCTGAGCAGGTACTTGTTTGGAGTGCCTTCGAGTTACATGTGGAAACAGCACATGGTGTGCAGGCATGGAAACAAGAGTGTGCAGGAATGGAAGAAAAACTCAGTTTACCAGTGGGATGCTGATCACAGGAAACCAAAGCACATTCTTTTATGAGATTGAAGATTTTTGTAAAGCTGGTAATAAGTAGCTCCTATCTGAAGGGCCTCCATAAATCTGGCCAATTCCCTGGATCCTATATACTACTGGGACAGAGTAAACTCTACAAGCTCTAATCACTGGCTCCATGCTTCTGCACCTTGAAGTTTTGATGCAGGCAGGTAAGAGCAGCACTTTCCAGCCATATTCTACCTGAGGCCCACCATTCACTTGTTTTTAGAGACCTTAGAGCCTTTATTATATATCTCTTTTTTTGGGCATTGGGAATTGTAAGAGTTTCTATGGATGGCAACCTATCCGGTTAGTTGATAGAAGTCCCTTTTCAGTAGAGAAGTATGACTCATTTGGATGACAGTGGCATTTGGTCCTATGTGTTTTTTCTTCCTGGGCATGTCTCCAGTGGTTTGCAATGGGTTTTATGCTGAAGTTAGACAGTAGTCCTTGATGGAGTTGGGTTTGGCCAATAGATGGGACAAGAGGTTGGGGGTCCACATCCCTGAGACAAGGCCATAGAGACTCAGCCAACTTTGTACAAAAGAAACTCTTAGTCCTTCAGCTGGTGGGATAAATTGCACCTTATAGGCTGGGGACTTCCCTCCTGCCAGACCCAAGGAGGACAGAGCTCATCCAAGAAGAGAGGTCAGCAGGAGGAGAGACACATACCATTTCTCAAAGCAAACCACTTGGACACAGAATGCTAGGAATGTCTCACCTCAGAGATCAGCAGAGGACATTTTCAGATAATATAGTTATGGGTCAGTGATTTCTGTGAATCAGCATCCTGTGCTGCTGTTAGCCATTTTGCAAAGTGGAGATAATAGGAGCATCTGCCTCCTTAAGGTGGTTGTGAAGATGAACTGAGTTAACACATGTAAGTGCTCGGAGGAATGGCCTGGCCTACTGTGAGCACAGTCAACAAGTATCTACTAGGGTGTTCCACATAGTAGGCATTGGCGATAAAAGCAGATAATAAGAATAGCCAAGGTTCTTTTCTTCTGGGGTTTTGAGACCACTAAAGCATCTGTTTATTAAACAAATGTGCATTGGTGCTTCCGTTCCTGACCTGTGGCTTCTTCCATGCAAAGACTCTTGGCTGGAGGCCAGTATCTTGGGTCCATTCCATTCTGGTCCTTAGAAAAACTAGGGTTCTTCTCCCTCACTTCATATTTCCTGCATTTCCCTTTCCTTGATTCCTTTGTGTCATGGCAGACCAGGTGATTCTCATGGCAGATCAGGAGTGATTTTGCTCCTAGGGGACATCTGGCAATGTCTGGAGACGTTTTTTATTTTTATGACTAGGGTGAAGGAGGACACCACTAGTGCCAAGTGTGAAGAGGCCAGAGATGCAGCTAAACATCCTATAATGTACAGGACAGAAATACAGAAAGAATTATCTAGTCCCAAATGTCAACAGTACCCAGGTTGAAAAACCTGGTGGTAGACTAATAATTTCTGTACTAGGCTCTAAGGGGAAGGTGGAGGGCAACCAGATACTGTTCAAGGCTACTTAGGATGGTCGTGTCCTCTTGGCTTCATCTAACTCTGCCCAAGTCACCAGGGAAGGAGTTTCATGGAGTAATTGGAAGCTAGGACTTTACTGCACTGAATACAAAGTGGTTTTATTTTATTTTTTAAAAAATTTTCAATGTTTTTTAAAATTATTATTTATTTTTGAGAGAGAGAGAAAGACGGCGTGAGCAGGGGAGGGTCAGAGAGAGAGGAAGATACAATCCAAAGACAGTCCCCAGGCTCTGAGCTAGCACAGAGCCTGATGCAGGGCTTGAACCCATGAACCGTGAGATCATGACCTGAGCCTAAGTCAGACACTTACATGAAAGAGAATTTCTAGTTCTCTTTTTTTTCCAATTTTTTTTCCATTTATTTATTTTTGAGAGACAGAGACAGAGCACAAGCTGGGGAGGGTCAGAGAGAGAGGGAGACACAGAATCTGAAACAGGCTCCAGGCTCTGAGCTGTCAGCACAGAGCCCGACGTAGGGCTCGAACCCATGAACCGTGAGATCATGACCTGAATCGAAGTCAGACGCTTAACCAACTGAACCACCTAGGCGCCCCCAAAGCAATTTTATTTTTGAGAGGCACTCTGTGCCACACCCTCAGATACCTGCACACTCCCCAGGGTGCAGGATCCTGCCAGTAGATCTGCCTTTTTGGCACCAGATGAGGACACATAAATGCTGTGTTCATACATATTGTGCCCACTACTTTATGAGAATCACTTAATAATGGTTTTCTATAATCACTCCAACAGTTATTTACAAATGAAGAATCTGACGCTGCTTACAGACAGAGAGTAAATATCCTAGTAAATGGTAAAGTTAGGATTCAAACATTGGAATCTGCCCAAGTCCAAATGTAGTGATAAACAAGAGAGTACAATAGTCCTCAAGTCAACCTACAATATTTTTTTGCTCTCAGGTCAAGAGAATCTACCCATTCTAGCTCAACCAGTATAAAGGACACTTTGTTCTCTCGATTCCCTGTTGTGGGGAGTCTCTGGGACCATTTTCTGGTCTAATCCTTAATCTCTAGTCCAGGAAGTTCTCTCCTAGTCTGCACAGATCTGACCTCCAGCATGTGGTGTTCCTGGGGCCGTTCAGAGGGCTAGGCTTTGAACAGAGCCCTTTTCCTTGATGCCCTGAGGCAGCTCTGGAGATGCACTTAGCTCCATCTAAACCCATATCCTATTCAACCCTGTCTGGTCAGTTTTTCCAACTCTGTTCTGCTGGTAATGAATCCCTCCTCGGTGCCATTCTCCTCACTCCATGGCAGTGCAAGCTATTGTAGTTAATAGGGTCAGAAGAATGACTGGCTGTTCACAGTCTCTGCACCTTTTCTGGGCCAACACAGACACTGGTGGCCCTCATGGGTCATGGTGGTTAACACTTACTGAGTGCTAATGCCAGACACTGCTCTGAGCACTCTTAGGTGTAACATTTAATCCCCACCAGAACTCTTCAGGAAATGTATTGTCATCATTATTACAGATGAGGGCATAGAGGCACAGAGAAGTAACTTGTGTAAGAGCATGCCATTAGTGAATAATAGCAGATTTGAACCCAGAGCCCTCTTAGCCACTGTGCTCTGCTGCCTCTCAAAATACAGTAAGTGCTATGAAAACTGGACTGAGTAAGGACACCTGGGTGGCTCAGTCGGTTAAGCGTCTGACTTTGGCTCAGGTCATGATCTCACGGTTCGTGGGTTTGAGCCCCGCATTGGGCTCTGTGCTGACAGATCAGAGCCTGGAGCCTGTTTCAGGTTCTGTGTCTCCCTCTCTGACCCTCCCCTGCTCAAGCTGTCTCTCTCTCTCTCTCAGAAATAAATAAAAACATTTTAAAAAAAAAAAAAAGAAAACTGGACTGGGTAAGAGGTTGTTGGTCAAGTAGGTCTCTGAAGAGCTGTGAGTTTTGATTTGAAGCTGGACTGTGAGAGGGAGCCAGGTGCGTGAAGATTTGGCAAAGTGTGCACCAGGCAAGGAAGACTACAAGTAGACCAGGATTTTCTTTCACTTAAAGTAGACACTACAGTGAGTTTCCTGAAGAAGTTTCTTATTAACAATCTCAGTATAGGTCAATGGGCACCACCCAAGCAAGATTCAGTAAGTAAGTAAGATTTTATGGTGTGAGGGAAGTCCGTATGATACCTAGTGATTTCCATACTGAGACCAGGGAAACAATGGTCCAGCATTCATGGTGCTAGAAGCTAGAACATAACTGAGAAAATCAAATGTGAGTTTGCCACTTGCCACTCCTGTCCCCCATCTTCTCAATGCACTCCTTAACTTGCCTTCTCCCTTGATGCTTACAGGAGTCTGTGTCCTTGAAATAATTTTTTTCATGATAAGTTTAGTTATTGGTTGACCATTCTTTTTCTTAGATGTATGGCGAGCCTTTTGGTGTGCTACTTCAAGTCTGTGTTTAGGAATGTTTTTCTCTAGTAAACAGAATAGTATTTATGTTCTGTCTTCAGATTACATATTCAAAAATATCAGCACTTTGGATCTCTGTTGTCTGTCCTTAACTTTGGTTATCTCACTGAAAGTAAGCCCCTCTCCTGAAAAGTCTACTTAGAGCTCTTTTCATATCCCTGTTCCTTAAGCTGTAGATGAAGGGGTTCAGCGTGGGGGTGACCACTGTGTACATCACTGAGGCTATTGAGCCCTTTCTGGAGGGATGGGCTGTTCCGGAAGTGAGGTAGACCCCAAGGCCTGCACCATAGAACAAGGAGACCACCAAGAGGTGAGACCCACAGGTGGAAAAGGCTTTGTACTTCCCCACAGCTGAAGAAATGCCCATTATGCAGGAGATAATTCTAGAATAAGAGAAAAGGATTCCAGTCAGGGGAATAACACCCAGCAGGCCAGTTACAAAATACAGCAGGATGTCATTGACAAAGGTGTCAGAACAGGCAAGCTTGAGGATCTGAGCAAGTTCACAGAAGAAGTGAGGAATTTCTGTCTCTTTGCAGAAGGCCACCCTCAAAACCATCAAACTTTGCAACAAAGAATAGGTCAGGCAGATTAACCAACAAAGCAGAAGCAAGAGACCACAGAGCCGAGGGTTCATGATAACTGTGTAGTGCAGGGGGTGACAGATGGCCACAAACCGATCATAGGCCATTACGGTCAGTAGCAAATTATCTAGTCCAGCAAAAATCATGAAAAAACACATTTGAGTAAGGCAGCCTTCATATGTGATGGTGTTGCTCTGTGTCTGGATGTTCACTAACATCTTGAGGACAGTGGTGGAGGTGAAACAGATGTCAGTGAGGGACAGATTGGAGAGGAAGAAGTACATGGGTGTGTGGAGGTGGGAGTCAGAGCTGATGGCCAGGACGATGAGCAGATTTCCTAAAGCACAGACCAGGTACATGTAGAGGAATAGCCCAAAGAGGAGGGGCTTCAGGTTTGTATCTTCCGAAAGTCCCAGAAGGATGAATTTTGAAACAGCTGTTTGGTTCCCTACTTCCATATGAGTTATGGAAATTGCCTGGAAAGAGGCAAGAATAATGTTAAAACAGTGACAAGACAAGATTGCACCATACATTTTAAACTTGTTCACTCATGAAGTCTTGTGTCTTACCTAAGAGTCGTGATTTCTTTAGTTGACCAAATTCTCCTCAATAATACCTTCTCTTCCCTGCTTCTACCACTACTACTGGGACCACCTCTTAATTATTTTTTAAAAATTATTTTTAAGTATCTCTATACCCAATGTGGGGCTTGAACTCACAATTCTGAGATCAAGAGTTGGATGCTCTACCAACCTAACCAGCCAAGTGCCCCTAGGATCACATCATTAAAATTAATGTACCACACCACATGCGGTGGTGGGAGAAGGGGGCATGCTCCTCTGCACCATCCCCAACTCATGGTTCTACCTCAGCTGTGTAGTTCCTGTGAAAGGACCATCAGCCTCATGAGCATCTCCTTTCTGCCCTGTAGCTGTGGTGTCTTCAAGTCCAGGTAAACAGAGAGAAGAGGGAGATCATAAGGAGTTGCACAATTTAATATTTTTGCTCTCATGCCATTTACCAGTATCTGTCCAGTATCTTACCAGTATCTGGAAACAGAACATTCTCATCTGAAGTTTGACTCAGAGAAGGAGGCTGTGCAAAGACTTTTATAGATAATTCTTTCACAATTATACTAACGTCTCCATTGCTGTCCCAATCTGTCCCTCTGTCACCATCGTAATGATCAAGTTACCATAATATGGTTCAATCCCAAAGACTAAATCAGACCATACATTCTAATTACACCCTGCATGTTTGGACTGTAGTTCTTTCTATTTCTTTAGGTTAGGACGACTTTGCCTTTTCTATTTCATTTTCATTTCATACCCCCAAGTACTTAGCAAGTACCTGGTGTTCACTCTATATTGGTCAAATGAGTGACAGAAGAAATTTGCAGGGTACTGTAGAGGCAAATCTCTACCATAAAATTCTTTCAGAACAAAGATACCATCTATCATGAAGGCTTGTCAACTGAACATAAAGAGAATGAGAGTTTTTTTTTTTTCTTTTGCACTTTGTTTAAAAAAGAAGTAAGCCTGGTTTCTGTTTGAATATTAGGTCTCTGCAACAGGAGGGAATTTCTAAATTCAGGGGCAGTTGTCTTCAATTTTATATTCATTTAAGAAAAAGTGTCCAAAGTTCCTAAGCGAAGAACAATGAAAGAAATTACAAAGAATTGGATCAATTGTTTAAAGTACTTACAGTGGCACTTGGGTGGCTCAGTCAGTTAAGCATCCAACGCTTTGGCGCAGATCATGATCTCAGCGTTGGTGAGTTCAAGCCTCACATCGGGCTCTGTGCTGACAGTGCAGAGCCTGCTTAGGAGTCCCTCTCTCTCTCTCTCTCTCTGTGTCTTCTCTCACTCTTTCTCTCTCTCTCTCTGCCGCTCTCTATGCCCACCCCCCTCAAGATAAATAAACTTAAAAAAACTTTAAAAATGTTTAAAACATAAAAATAAAGTACATGCAATAATTATGTGTTTATCAATAATACCAAACAACATTAAAAGGCAAATTAAAGTCGGAAAGGGGGAACATTTATAATTTATAAGGAATCATAGAGGTGCAGTTTTATATATTAGCTTTTATTTTTATTTTTATACATTAGAGAGATAATGTGCATGAGTGAGGAAGGGACAGAGGGAGAGAGAGGGAATCTTAAGCAGGCTCCACACCCAATATGTAGCCCAATGTGGGAAGGAGGTGCTCAATCCCAGAGACCATGAGTTCATGACCTGAGCCAAAATCTAGAGTCGGGCACTCAACTAACTAAGCCACCCAGATGCCCCTAATGTATTAACTTTTAAAAGCAGTAAGAAAACAGTAAGAAGAAACAAATAGGTCATATTGGCCTAAAAAAAGACTTAAGTATGAGACTGTTGAAAACATTGCTGTTCATGGTACTTTTAGAATCACCGTAGAGTATCCTATTCAGTCACACTATTTAGAATATTAACATTAAACATGAAGAAACTCACTGAAAATAATACCATAATAGGGGACCTCAACACCACACTTACAGGAATACACAGATCATCTAAACAGAAAATCAACAAGGAAACAATTGCTTTGAATGACACACTGGACCACATGGATTTAACAGATACACTCAGAACATTTCATCCTAAAGCAGCAGAGTATACATGATTCTCCAGTGCACATGGAACGTTCTCCAGAATAGATAATATACTGGGACACAAATTAGCCCTCAACAAATACAAAAAGATTGAGAGCATACCATTCATATTTTCAGACCACAATGCTATATGAAACTCAAAATCAACCACAAGAAAAAATTTGGAAAGATAACAAATACTTGGAGACTAAAGAACATTCCACTAAAGAATGAATGGGCTAACCAAGAAGTTAAAGAGGAAACTAAAAAGTACATAGAAGCCAATGAAAATAATAGCACCACAATCCAAAACCTCTGGGATGCAGCAAAGACAGTCATAAGAAGGAAGTATATAGCAATCCAGGCCTTCCTAAAGAAGGAAGAAAGTTGGGAGCACCTAGGTGGCTCAGTCGGTGTCCGATTTCAGCTCAGATCGTGACTTCATGGTTCGTGGGTTTGAGCCTGGTATCAGGCTCTGTGCTGACAGCTTGGAGCCTGGAGCCTGTTTCAGGTTCTGTGTCTACCTCTCCCCTGCTCATATTCTGTGTCTCTCTGTCTTACTCTCAAAAATAAATAAAGATTAAAAAAATTTTTTAAAAAAGAAGGAAGAAAGGTCTCAGATATACAACTTAACATTACCCCTTAAAGAGCTGGAAAAAGAAAAGCAAACAAAACCCCAAAACAGCAAAAGACAGGAAATAATAAAGATTAGAGCAGAAATCAATGCTATCGAAATCAAACCAAACCAAACCAAAACAAAACAGTAGAACAGATCATTGAAACCAGATGCTGGTTCCTTGAAAGAATTAACAAAATTGATAAACCACTAGCCAGTTTGATCAAAAAGAAAAAGGACAGGACCCAAATAAATAAAATCAAGAATGAAAGAGGAGAGATCATGACCAACACACCAGAAATACAAACAATAATAAGATAATAATTTGAGCAATTATATGCCAATAAAATTGACAATCTGGAAGAAATGGAAAATTTCCTAGAAACATATAAACTACCAAAACTGAAATAGGAAGAAATAGAAAATTTGAACAGACCCATAACCAGTAAAGAAATTGAATTAGTAATCACAAATCTCCAAAATAAAAAGCTTCTACACAGCAAAGGAAACAATCAGCAAAATTAAAAGGCAACCAACAGAATGGGAAAAGATGGTTGCAAACGACATATCAGATAAAGGGTTGGTATCCAAAATATATAAAGAACTTATCAAACTCAACACCCAAAAAACAAATAATCCAATGAAGAAATGGGCAAAAAACATGAACAGACACTTCTCCAAAGACGACATCCAGATGGCCAACAGATACATGAAATGATGCTCAATGTCATTCATCATCAGGGAAATACAAATCAAATCCACAATGAAATACTACCTCACACCTGTCACAATGGTTAACATCAACAACTCAGGCTGCAACAGATGCTGGGACGAATGTGGAGAAACAGCATCTCTTTTGCACCGCTGGTGTGAACGCAAACTGGTGCAGCCACTCTGGAAAACAGTATGGAGGTTCCTCAAAAAATTAAAAGTCGAACTACCCTATGACCCAGCAATAGCAGTAGATATTTATCCAAGGGACACAGGTGTGCTGTTTCAAAGGGATACACACACCCCAATGTTTATAGCAGCGCCATCAGCAATAGCCAAAGCATGGAAAGAGCCTAAATGTTTATCGATGGATGAATGGATAAAGAAGAAATGGTATATATATACAATGGAGTATTACTTAGCAATCAAAAAGAATGAAATCTTGCCTTTTGCAGCTACATGGAATGAAGTAGAGGGTATCATGCTAAGCAAAATTAGTCAAAGAAAGACAAATGTATGACTTCACTCCTATGAAGACTTTAAGATACAAAACAGATGAACCCAAGGGAAGGGAAGCAAAAGTAATATAAAAACAGGCAGGGAGACAAAAACATAAGAGACTCTTAAAAAAAAAATTATAGCTTATTTATTTTTGAGACAGAGAGAGACAGAGCATGAGCGGGGTAGGGGCAGAGAGAGAGGGAGACACAGAATCTGAAACAGGCTCCAGGCCCTGAGCTGCCAGGACAGAACCCGATGTGGGGCTTAAACCCACAAACTGCGAGATCATGACCTGAGCCGAAGTCAGACGCTTACCTGACTGAGCCACCCAGGTGCCCCCATAAGAGACTCTTAACTATGAAGAACAAACAAAGGGTTACTGGAGAGGTTGTGGGAGGGGGGATGGGATAGATGGGTAAGGGGCATTAAAGAATCTACTCTTGAAATCATTGTTCCACTATATGCTAACTAACTTGGATGTAAATTTTTTAAAAAATTAATAAAAAATAATATTGGCATTTGAGTATTTCTGTTGGAGTGTAATATTTTCAGAGAATTACTGTTACTGTTAGAGTCTATTGTTGAAGTATTATTGTTAGAATATCATGTTTATAGTAGTGGACACTTTCGAACCTAAAAGAGTGGTTGAAAAACCTTGACTAACATGACATACTGTCCACATTGTAGTGTTATGTAGAAAAAAAGATTGGAACAGGAAGACTAGAAAACCATTCATGTAGAGCAATGACAATCTGGAGATAAACTGGGATGGGAAAGAAATTCACCAGAGTGTCCACATTGCTTATATTTGAGAGGTGTGAGTATAGGTACCTTTTTTCTTTCTTTTTTTTTTCTTTTTCTATATTTTCTTAATTTTCCACAATGAGCATATTGTGGTCATAAAATTTTTTTTAAATGTTTATTCATTTTTGAGAGAGAGACAGAACACAAGCCAGGGAGGGGCAGAGAGAGAGGGAGACCCAAAAACTGAAGCAGTCTCCAGGGTCTGAGCTGTCAGCACAGAACCCGATGTGGGTTCGAACTCAAGAACCGTGAGATCATGACCTGACCGGAAGTCAGACACTTAACCAACTGAGC